CAGGGGTCGGAAACCTTTTGAGACGGAAGAGCCAAAAGTTACAATTTACAAAATTTACCAGTTTTTAAAGAGCCACTAACATTTTTATTTAATTAATTTTAATATAATTATTAATATTTGCGCATGGAACTGGAGAGCAGCATCTGGACATCAAAAGAGCCGCATGCGGCTCGCGAGCCGCAGGTTGCTGACCCCTGCTCTAGAGGCATCATACATCTGGACCCTACGCAACTGTGAGGAGGGTTTTTGTGTAGGAACACTTTGACTGACACGAGCAGAATCACGGCAATCTGTTGGCTCCCTGGCATCATCGTCTATGTCTGATACCATTTACCAAGGAACCCACCAAATGAAACGTGCTCTTGTATCTGAACATATCAAATGAAACTTGCTCTTGTATCTGAACCTACCAAATGAAACTTGCTCTTGTATCTGAAGCTACCAAATGAAACGTGCTCTTGTATCTGAACCTACCAAATGAAACGTGCTCTTGTATCTGAACCTACCAAATGAAACTTGCTCTTGTATCTGAACCTACCAAATGAAACTTGCTCTTGTATCTGAACCTACCAAATGAAACTTGCTCTTGTATCTGAACCTACCAAATGAAACGTGCTCTTGTCTCTTTTTGTGGAGAAAGACACTGTTGATGTAAAGCAATAAGTGTTTTCATTATTACAATGTTTTCTTCTCTCTAACTAGGTCACCCACTGGCGCAGTCCACGGTTCCATGCTTACTTCCCCGTAGCAGGCTCATACCCGGCCATTCTGGCGGACATGTTGTCTGATGGCATCGGGTGCATATCATTTAGCTGGGTCAGTCGGGTCTTTCGTTACTGACTGCTTCGACGGTGACCAAAAGCCATGAAATGGGGCAGAGTGGATTTTTAGGGAACGTTTGTGAAAGCCATGAAATGGGACAGGGTGAATTTTGGAGGAATGTTTGTGACAGCCATGAAATGGGACAGAGTGGATTTTGGGGGAATGTTTGTGACAGCCATGAAATGGGACAGAGTGGATTTTAGGGGAACGTTAGTGAATCTGTAAAGACATTTTCATTTTAAAACAAAACTTTTCCAGTTGAAATGTTGGGCTCCTGCCTCTTAGAGATATTACATTCTCCTGACTCTTATTGACATTACATTCTCCTGACTCTTAGGGACATTACATTCTCCTGACTCTTAGAGATATTACATTCCCCTGACTCTTAAGGACATTACATTCTCCTGACTCTTAGGGACATTACATTCTCCTGACTCTTAGGGACATTACATTCTCCTGACTCTTAGGGACATTACATTCTCCTGACTCTTAGGGACATTACATTCTCCTGACTCTTAGGGACATTACATTCTCCTGACTCTTAGAGATATTACATTCTCCTGACTCTTATTGACATTACATTCTCCTGACTCTTATGGACATTACATTCTCCTGACTCTTAGAGATATTACATTCACCTGACTCTTAAGGACATTACATTCTCCTGACTCTTAGGGACATTACATTCTCCTGACTCTTAGGGACATTACATTCTCCTGACTCTTAGGGACATTACATTCTCCTGACTTTTAGGGACATTACATTCTCCTGACTCTTAGGGACATTACATTCTCATGACTCTTAGGGACATTACATTCTCATGACTTTTAGAGATATTACATTCTCCTGACTCTTATGGACATAAATTCTCCTATAGAATTCAAGCTAACTTTTGGTAAAACATCTATATATTATGTAATTTAAACCACGTAGTAACATAGACGTGTTATGAGATTGTTAAAAAAAAACTTTTGTTGAAACTGTCCTGAAGAGACGCCTTATTGTGTTGGACGTGCGTTACTTCTAACATGCATTGTAACCATGATGTCCCCTGCTCCAGGCCACCAGCCCCGCGAGTACTGAACTAGATGTCTCCATGATGGACTGGTTGGCCAAGATTTTAAACCTGCCCAAAGAGTTTCTGTTTAGCGATGGAGGAAAAGGTGGAGGTGTCATACAGGTGAGTTAGATTAAATAAAGGTCTGGCTGTTATACAGGTAGGTTAGATTAGGTAAAAGTGTTAAACAAGTAAGTTACAGTTCAGGCAAAGCGGGTATGTTTGGGTTGAGGGGGGGGGTTGTACAACAAGAAAACAAGCTCTTAAATTTTAAATTTAAATTAACAATGGTGCTCTGATAGTGTTGGTGTTAGTGTTCATACAATGGTAAATTTGTTTTCATCGCGTAGAGGGGTGGGGGAGAACCCCCTAGAACAGAGGGGTGGGGAGAACGCCCTAGAACACAGGGATGGGGGAGAACCTCCTAGAACAGAGGGGGGTGTGAGAGCCCCCTAGAACATATGGGTAGTGGAGAACGCCCTAGAACAGAGAGGTTGGGGAGAACCCGCGAGAACAAAGAGGGGTGGGGGAGAACCCCCTAGAACAGAGGGGTGGGGAGAACGCCCTAGAACAGAGGGATGGGGGAGAACCTCCTAGAACAGAGGGGTGTGTGAGAGCCCCCTAGAACATATGGGTAGTGGAGAACGCCCTAGAACAGAGAGGTTGGGGAGAACCCCCTAGAACAGAGAGATTGGGGAGAACCCCCTAGAACAGAGAGGTTGGGGAGAACCCCCTAAAACAGAGGGGTGGGGGAGAACCCCCTGGAACAGAGGAGTTGGGGAGAACCCCCTAAAACAGAGGGGTGGGGGAGAAACCCCCAGAACAGAGGGGTGGGGAAGAACACCCTAGAATCTTTACGTGCTGACTCCACTGCCCGGTGAACCTTAATTCATCATGGAACTGGTTGCTAAATGTTTCCCCCTTCATGAGTCGGGGGCGTGGGAAGGATGGGTGCAGATGTGGCCGGCCGCCCGGGGAAACATTTTGAAACATTTCTATTAAGAGGTAATATTTGCGGCTGACTGGAGTTTTATTATTGGAAGGGGGGGGGCAAAAAGCTTGATCCTCCCCCTGTTGGCAGTAATACTAGCTACGCCACTGAGTGGCAATAACACTAGCGACGCCACTGAGAGGCTATAACACTAGCGACGCCACTGAGTGGCAATAACACTAGCTACGCCACTGAGCGCAGTAGTAAGAACAAAGATGTTGATATTGCAGTAAATGTCAGAACAAAAATGTTGACGTTATTCATTATTATGTACAGGGCACAGCAAGTGAGGCAACTCTTGTAGCCCTACTGTCAGCTAGAACTAACACGATTAACAAGCTCAAGAAAGACAACCCCCAGCTGACCCAAGGGCAGATCGTGGACAAACTGGTGGCTTATTGTTCAGAAGAGGTGAGTTCTCTGGTACTAGATGGTGTTCCCGTGCCGGACTGTGGAGATGATATTCTTTTCATGGCCTAAGTCTGTGTGTGTCAATGATGCGTCTATGGCTTTGTCATTGTATCTTTGAACTAGTGGTGCACGTCAACAACAACATATAATGGGCGGGGTTTTGGAAGAAAAAATGTTGGAAAAAAGGGGGATGGAGGTGGGGGTCGGGGGTCGGGGTGGGGGTCTGGCAAAGCTTCGGAAGATTCTCAATATTTTAATTTTTTTTTCTGAAATTTTTTGGTTAAATGCCCAGATGAGATACTTTCTTTACACAGTGTAGTGACCTTCTTTATGATGTGCAGTGGCCTTCTTTATGATGTTTAGTGACCTTCAAATTCAAATTTTTTGTTTGCTTTTTTTTTTTTTTTTTATTGCGCACGCCCTCAGGCCCATTCATCAGTTGAGAGAGCCGCACTCATCGGTATGGTTCCAATGAAATCTCTGCCAACAGACGACCAAGGAGCCCTACGAGGACTAGAGCTGGAATTTGCCATCATTAAGGACAAGGAGCAAGGCTTGATACCTTTCTTTGTGAGATGTTAATTGGTGCTTTTAAAAATATTGAGAATTTGAAACAAAAAAACTTCAAGTTTTGAGCCCCATGCCATGATATGACTTTTGTTAAAGAATTTTTTACCATTTCATTTGATATGTGTGTATGATTTTTAAAAGTCAGATGATTTGAGAAGCCCTTGAAAAATAATCTTATTCCACGTGAAAGCTCGAAGACATTTTTAATGGACGTAAGATTCTTTTAAAGCACATATTATTTATTGCACATAGGATCGGGGTTTTTTTTAGTGAAAATCTTTTCGAAGTCCCGTGTTTAGCAGTAATTAAGGCCACTTAATGTTTCCTGGTAGGGCTTTGGCCTGCCTCACCACATCCTTCCACTCAGACCTAACTGACGCTTTTCTTTTCCATGCTTGGATTCCCAGCTGCTGTAGATCCTTTTCCGCATCGTCCACCCATCTAAGCCTTGGTCTGCCTTTGGGCCGTGTTCCTCTGGGGTTTTTGGTGTTGCATCCTCTTCACTCCTCTGTCATTTGGCATTCTTTC